AGTTTATGTGATGTCTTCGCCCATATAGCAACTCTAATCTTGATCAACTCAATGACTTCAACAAGGCTAGGATTTGAGTGCTTGAATTTACACTCATTTCTGAGCTTTCAAATAGACCACAACACTGCTAGAGGTATACTTTTCCATAACACTCTCTGATTTCCTAAATTTGGCTCCATCCCACCAGAGAAGCATCTTATCCACTGCATCCGGCAATGCCCCAACAAATCCCCACCACTTTAGCATAACAGCCCAGATATGCCAGGAAAAATGACACAGCAGAAGGACATGGCGAGCAGATTCACGCTCAGACTTGCAAAAGATACATTTAATATCTGAATTGCTACTCAAGACCCCAATCTTCTGCAGAAACTCAGCAGATTTTACTTTGTTCTTCCAAGCCAACCATCCAAAGAATTGAGCTTTGTGTGGGATAGACTTCAACCACACCAACCTGCAACCCCTTGCTGAAGAACCAAAACTATTAGAACATAATTTATACATAGAGGATGTGGAATACACACCTGAGGATGCCGCAGCCCAACAAGGTACATCAGCAAAGCCAAGTCTGAGGGAAGGTGTTGCTGCTAGAAGAATTATCAATCTTGATGCTTCCAACTCCTCCCACTCATACAAAGCCCTTCTAAATGGTATCACCCATTCTACTGAATTTCCTTTTAAATCAAAGTAATGCTTGACAGAACCTTCCTTAGATTGAGCAAAACTGAACAAACCAGCGAATTCTCTCTTGAGGCATAGCTTCCCACACCACTTATCATGCCAGAATTTGGTTCTAGATCCATCCCCAACTTGAATCTGAAAGTTCTGCTCGAAAAACTCACCACATCAACTTGAAGTACACTTCCACCTCCCTGGCCTCGTTCCCTATCTGAAACAAGAAATCCAAGACCTAGAGATATGGTCTCTTGAAGAGAATCATCTCTTGAGTTGTTGAAGCTTCTCGTAGACCCATCAAAATTCATAGGAACACAAAAAGACTCTAATATTCATTTTTGAAATTTAGTACATCTGAATATTATGATAAAAACACTAATGTTCATTTTTGTGTGATAAATAAGGTCTGGATTCTTTTGACGTGAATAACAGGACACATATTCATAGACAAAATAAAAAAAAAAAAACAACGCAAAAGCAAACATTCAACAAGAATAATGCAACATAATGAAAAACAATGGCATCAATATAGCCAATTTGTTGCTTCGCCTTCCAATTTTTTTTTTTTTTTTAATAGTAAAATCGTTTGTTATTTGTTTGTTTTGATTTATAAATATATATATATATATATATATATATATAGATCCTCTTTGCTGAATCAATATTCTCTTACATTGTATTACAATTGATTATATCTTTATATATACATAGATATATAAAGCTTTACACACGACTAAAACATAAATAAAATCACACTTGCTATCCTAAAAATCCCAATTTACCTTTCAATTTTTCTCTCACTAATTCAAACAATTCTCACTCAATACACTTCATATTATGCAGAAAAGTACACATACTGATAAATAAATATATATATATATATATATACACTCAATTTTTGATGAAAAAGAAACTGGATTTCTTGAGGGGTGAAGTGTTGGTTGACTAAAATAGAAACCAAATATACCCTAGAATTTAGAAATTCAAGAAAAGATCGTGAATTACAACATAAAAATGCTCATATAAATTTTCTATGGAAAGAGGCAAAAATGATTCTAATAAATTGAGTAATGTTAGTGATTCAAAAACAATATTAAAAATTTGT